CCCATGGGGACACTAGATTTGTCCATACTACAATATCATTAAAAACTGACACCTGCTCTAACCGGTTTGGCTCAGTGGATAGAGCGTCGGCCTGCGGACTGAAAGGTCCCGGGTTCGATTCCGGTCGAGGGCATGTACCTTGGTTGCAGGCACATCCCCAGTAGGGGGTGTGCAGGAGGCAGCTCATTGATGTTTCTCTTTCATCGATGTTTCTAACTCTCTATCCTTCTCCCTTCCTCTCTGTAAAAAATCAATAAAATATATATTTAAAAAAAACAAAACTGACACCTTCCCTGGCTGGTTAGAGTGTCTGCCCTCGGACCAAAGCGTATCAGGTTTGATTCCCAGTCAAGGGTTGCAGGTTCCCCACCCCGTAGGGGCGCATGCGGGAGGCAACCAATCAATGTTTCTCTCTCTCACCCCCTCCTTACTCCCTTCCACTCTCTCTAGAAATCAATAGAAAAAAATATCCTCAGGTGAGGATTGAGAAAATAAAATAAAACTGACACCTAGCTTATAAAAGAAATATCTTACCACACATAGGAGAAGCATTTATATAAGATGAAACCCACCCAATGTTCAGAGTTATAAAGAATAATTCAAGCACAGAAATAGAATGCCCAACCTCTTAACAATAAGGACCATAGGGTGGCAGGTGACCTATTTCTTCAATGTGTTTCTCCGCAGATCTTTTCCCAACCACAGGACCAGTGTACCAGTTTCTCCATCAGAATGTTAATCTACATTTTACTAGGATGAAAATACCAAGTATTAGAGTAAGTTAATTTCCTGAAACAATCTTTTCATCTGATTTCAAAAAAGTCAGAAGACACTTCACTAGGTTGGCCATCAAATTATGTAGTCAGGTAACTTCTGGACTAGTAGTTCTAAACCCTTTCTGAGGGTCCAAGAGGTCAAAAATACTTTCATAGTATTACTAAGTCATGATTTGTCTTTTGCACTCTTATTCTTTCACAACTGTACAGTGGAGCTTTCCAGAGGCTATGAACTGTGATATCTTAACAGACTGAATACAGGAGCAGACATGGAAATTTTGATGTCTTCTATTATGTCAGACATTAAAGTTATTTGTAAAAAAAATAAAACAATGCCACTCATCACTATTTTCAAAAATATAGTTTTTGCCTGGCCAGCGTGGCTCAACAGTTAAGCATCGACCTATGAAACAGGAGATCACAGTTAGATTCCTGGTCAGGGCACAACAGGTAGGAGGCAACCGATCAATGATTCTCTCTCATCATTGATGTTCCTCTCTCTCTCCCTCTCCCTTTCTCTCTAAAATCAACAAAAATATTTTTTAAAAGAAAATACAGTTTTTTATTGAAAAAGTTATGTTACATGTTAACATGTAATACTTTACTATTTATGAATGAATTAAATATTTTTTTTCTTTTTTTCTTTTTTTCTTTTTTAATATATTTTATTGATTTTTTACAGAGAGGAAGGGAGAGAGATAGAGAGCCAGAAACATCACTGAGAGAGAAACATCGATCAGCTGCCTCCCGCACATCTCCCACTGGGGATGTGCCCGCAACCCAGGTACATGCCCCTGACCAGAATCGAACCTGGGACCCCCTCAGTCCGCAGGCCGACGCTCTATCCACTGAGCCAAACCGGTTTCGGCTGAATTAAATATTTTAATTCATTTTTATTCTAATTCAGTAAATTTCAATAGATATAACTCAAATAGAAGGCCTTTGGGATCCTCAATAATTTTTTTAATATATTTTTATTGCTCTCAATAATTTTTAAGAGTATAAAACAAGTAGCCAGTTTGGCTCGTAGAGCATCAGCCTGTGGACTGAAGGGTCCCGGGTTCGATTCTAGTCAAGGGCACATGCCTGGGTTGCAGGCTCGATCCCCAGTGAGGGGTGTGCAGGAGGCATCCGATCAATGATTCTCTCTCATCATTGATGTTTCTATCTCTCGCTCCCTCTCCCTTCCTCTCTGAAATCAATTAAAAAAAATTTTTTTTAAGTACTGAGACCAAAATATTTGAGAATCACTTTATAGCCCTTTCTATATTTATGCTTTGCCAAACAATTAAAGCATTTAATTTTCTAATTACTACTGAAGAGATGTTGCTTCCCTAAAGATAATTGCAGAAATCTGTCTTGATCAGAACAGAAAAGGTCCACAGACAACCTTAAAAAAAATTGTATCCACTAATTTAAAAAAGAAATCATTGATTACATCTTCCCAAAATAAAAACAGTAACAATGTCAAAACTAAAGTACTAGCTAATAGACCACTATCTAAAAGCTTTGGACATGAAAAGGGCTAGAAGAGAGGGTGATGTCTTCTAACAGAAGGGGTCAGGGAACATACATCCTGGTAAAGAAGGCATCTAACCTGGGCCCCAAGCATTTATAAAATTTCAACCAGTAACCATTGGGAATGAAAGGCACCCCAGAAAAAGGAAAAAAAACATACATTCAAGAACAGCAAATACAAAATAGCTTCCATAGAACTTATGATGGACTCCAGTAAGAGAATACAGGAAAATTAGGTTGGAAGCAAAAATAGAGGGACTTCTATGACAGGATAAGCAATCTGGAGCTTTAGTCAGTAGGCAAAAGAAAGCCTTTTGGTAATTTTTTAAAGTCATTGGAAGATTTACCATTGGAAGGTAAATTATCAGATGATACTTTAATGATACTGTGGACTGGACAGAATAGAAACAGGGGACAACAATTAGTACACTATCACACCAATCCAGGCAGGAAATAATAAGAGCTTGATCTGGGTGAGGAGCTAGCTAGGAAAAAGTCAGATACAGGACATGCTACAACCTCCTCACTAATAATTTACTTAGTTTAAACGTTTCAAAATTTAATTTATTACACAAAACAAGGTTGATGTTCACATTACTTCCAGTAAAAACCATTCACTTCATAGGCAGTTCAGCATATTCAAGTGTGCTTCCTTTTTAAAAAGCTGTTAGAAATAACTAACAATATTCTACATTAAGAAATTTGTCTTGATCAGAACAAAAGAAGTAATAAAGAACAACATATGCATATAACTCCAAAGTTTACTGCCATGGAATACACAAAGTTTGGATCAGAATTTTCTATATAACCCCGTAAGACCCACATCACTACATAATTATAATAGTCCAACTATTCTTAAAATCATTTTTTGACAACTCAACTAAACTTGGCCAATATTCTTCTACTAGGCCCATATTTTTCAAACATTAGTGCCTTCTTCATTTTCTCCCCTCCTCCCCACTCACTTCTCCACCCAACAAAATCCCTTTGTATGTCTGTAAGACAAGACACAGTATGATTCTAAGGCAGTTTGAATATATAATTCTTATAATAACAGAAATCTAAAATTAGTCATCTTACTTTTTACAAGAGAGGAACCAATGATGTACTTAATTTCCATTCAGATGAATGACAAATGCATCTAACAGAAATGATGCGTTATCATTAGGGGGGAACAAAGGGGGAAATACACACAATAGATGGGTGGCAAATCTTACAAACTTTATGAAACACTGAAAGGCTGCATCTGGATTGCAGTCACAATTATAAAAGCAAATAATGAAGGCTCCAAATTGAAGGGAAAAGGAAAAAATTCCAAGCGATCATTAAGAGTGAAAAAGGTTGATTCAATATTAGTAAATTTTTAATATAGCATAATTTAACACTCTGTGACTAATTGGGGGGAAAAACAAAGAGGATAATTCACTGTTCACAAGGACACAGGAAATAATTTCTGCATACATTCTATAAGGCAGTTATACTTCATTACACTTGCATGGTAGCAAATCCTTTCAAACGTTTCCAAAAATACATAGGCTTATAATAATTGAGGTTCCCCAATGACACAAATTACTCTGTAGGTATAACTATAACACATTTCTAAAAGACATAACGAATTCATGCTCAACAAAAACTGTAAGTCACAAAGGCCCTCTACTTATTCAAAATCATTACATAAAGCACTGTCCATAATTGCAAACCCGGTTTGAAAATCTGACAGCTAATAATTCTAAAATGGGGTCGATTTTAAAGAAAAAAAATTACCCAACTTTTCCATTTTCCCTTCCTTTTCCTTTCCTACCTGATACACAAAATGTCTGTAAGGGTCTCAGACAAAGCTCTAAAGTAGAAATACAGTATATGTATACTTTATATGTCTCCGAACCTATCACATATATGTACACATCACATATATTCACACAAGAAAGGTTCTTCCTTTTTTAATGTAAGAATTGAGGTTACATCAAACCCTATCCCATAAATTAAGTTAAATCACCACAAATTAAAGAGTAATAAAATACTGCACGTAGATCTCTCTGAGCGACTATATCCGAAGAAGAAAAACCTCAGACTAAGGCCATGACTGAATAAAAAACGCCCAATCCCTGAAAATCACTAACCAGCATTTGGTTTCTTTAAGAGAAAAGAGGGGGAGGGGTCGTAAAATGAATAATCACACTGGCAAGCCAGTTTCAGAAGTTAACGAAGGTAAAACAACGAACCAAATGAGACAAACGTAAGAAATGACAAGCTTTAAAGAATTCCCCCAAAAGGGGAAGACTGACTTCAAGACTGGGATATAATGCATCCTTTGCAAGTAGAAGAATCTTTAATTGAAAAAGAAAGAGGCGGGGGGGAGCAGGGTCGGGGGGGGGGGGGGGGGGAGGGTGACAAAAACCAGAACGACACGCAAAGGCAAAAAAAGTAAAAAAGAAAAATTTAAAAAAAAAAAAAAAAAAGGCCGGTCTCCCCTCCCACCCCCACTCCGACCCCCACCCCCACCCTCGCAGGACAATAGGATCAGGGTCCTAACTGCAAACTTTGACCGTGTAAACCAGCAGCAGTTTTACTGCAGCTCAAACTGCAAAACCTGCCCCACATCCCAAAGCTAGCGCACCCAGCAATAATCCTGCCCTGCATACATCACCGAGACCTTGTGAAACACACATCAGACCCATCACAACATTCTTTGTTTCTCCCAAGTACCTGGAGGATCCATTTCAATATAAAATATCAGTTCTGTCGAATAGGGCATCATCACCTCCCTCCAGTCTGCGTCATCGCGGTCCATACTCCACACCGTATTGTACATCGCGCTGTCAGGAGCAGGTCGTCAAGAAATATATAGAAAGCATATATTTTTTTTTAATCTGATACTTCAAAATATATATATATATATATATATTTGTAAAAGTCCCACCCGGAAATGTACTTCAGGGTTTCCAATGGCCGGTATTAAGTCCAGGCAACTACCGGTAAGAGGACGAGGTCCTCCACCTCCCTCCTCTGCCGAACCCAGCAAAATGCCCCCGAACTTTCAATCGACGGGCTCTGCTCCCCGGGAGGTGCAAAGAGGCTGGGCGGAGGGGGGGCCGGAAGGCAAAGGTGTTCACAAGCGGCTCCCCAAAAATCCCTTCTACACAGTCGCTCTTCCAAGAGGAGAGCTCCCACCGCCTCCAAATCTTCCCGCGGAAGAAGCCACTTTTGTGTCCTTCGGTAAATGAAGACGAAAGAAAAGAAGAAAAAGAAAAAAAAAAGGGACGCGCTGGGAGCAAGGTGGAGAAGTGACAAAGGAAGGCATAAAAAGGGGGCTGGGGAGTGCATTCAAGTTTCGGGGTCCGCACTGGTCTGCAGAGCGCGTTGCCCTCAGGGGCCGGTCTCGGGCTCCGTTGGTTCGGGCTCCGACCCAAGCTGCTGCAGCCTCGGGCGTGGGGCCCGTTGGTTGGAGAGTTCAGTTAGCTCCGTCCGGCCCGGGGCTCCCGCCGACTGCCAGGAGGCCCGCCAGCGCCCGCTGCCCTCACGCTCTGCTCTGGACTCCAGTCACTAGTTTCATTTTAACGGCGCGGAGGGGGACACCCTTCCCCGCCTCCATGCTCCCCCGCTGAGGCGCCACCCAACCGCTCCGGGCAGGGGGCGGCCAGCACTTCCACTGCCCCTCCCACTCCACCCAGCCTGGATAGACCGGGGAATTCTGTGAGGAGCCTGAGGAAACCCTCTGAAACTATCTTCCATCTCCGCTTTCAACTCTCCCCCGTGCTCTCGGGGCCTCCGCTCCTTCACCACCCACCCACGCTCCCCCCCGGCCTCGGTCAGAATGGTACGGCCCGGGCGCTGGCCGCACGCCAGGAGCCGGTGCCCCGAGCACGCGAGCAGGCGGGGGGAGGAGCCAGGGGGGAAGAGCGGCTGGAGCGGCCCGGGATTGGCTGGTCGCGGTTGCTCGAGCCCAGAGCCTGCGTCTTTTGTCTGCCTCGCTCCAGCGGAGGAGCGGGAGACGGCTGCGCGCCCCGAGCGGACCAATCAGAAGCCAGCCGGTGCCGGCCGGTGAGGCAGCGATTGGTCCGAGCTCAGTTACTAAGCGGGACAAAGGCAGAAGGGGGGAAGAAAAGGCGAGGATGGGGGAAAAAAAAGAAAAAGAAAGCGCAAACGGCGGTTACTGACAGGCTAGGCGAGCGCTCCGGGCTCAGGCTGCCCGGAGACAGGCGAGGCTCCCGCTGAGGCTCGGTGCACCCGGGCGAGTGGAGAGGGGGGAGGACCGGGACTGGCGGCGGGGGAGGGGAGCGGGCCGATGGGGCGCTTGCTGTCACTTGGTGGGACGCGCGCGCTTCCTGTCCGTAGGAGGTCCCGGGCAGAGCCCCTCCTCGCAGACCTCTCCCCCTGGGCCAAGTTGTCGGATACACCAAAGGCCCCCAAGCCCCCTTGCAGGACCGTTACCGCTCAGTAAGAGGATGTGCCATGGCCCCCGGCCACCTCCCCCGCGGCTACCTGAGCCTAGTCCCGGCTTCTCCCCGGGCAGTTGGGCGTTTCTTCCGGGGGCATTTCTTAGTTTCTCTGCGCTTCCCACCTAAGGACTTTTGAACCCAAAGGTAACTCCCACACTTGAAGTAGTGGGACGCCGCAGCGGGCCCCCTCCGCTGGAGTGCTCAAGCCAGAAAAGAAAAGAAAGAAAAAAAAATGTGTGTGTGATTTCTGAGATAAATCACAGGGGTTGGTGTCCCTAGCCAAAAGGGCTCTGTTCTGTTCCTCTGACAGACCCGCTCCCGCATCCACCCAGTCTCTCCTCCACCCCCACCCCCCCAAGCTAAAACTGTGTTAGACTTCAGTATGAAAATGCTGAACAGGTATGTGCATTTCAGAAACATCTGATTCACTTGCTGGGGAACAATGAATAGTCAGAGCAGATTTGTGTCCGTGTGAAGGTTGTGCCTGGAATTGCCGTTCTGCGGACCCTACAATAGAGTCTTGGGAGGCCAAAAACTGCTCCGTTTCCTCTCTGCGCGGGAGCAGCAAAGCCTATTGTGTTTGGGTTGACAACCTGACTCAAGCCCTAGCAAAACCTCCGACCTTGAGTCAAGCCTGTGGAAGAGTTGCCACCTTCCACCTCTACCCCCTAAAGTGGTCCTGTCTTCCTTCAAAGGTGCTCTGAGTTGGGACAGTTCCTGGGAGCAGATGCTCAAAATGTGTGAGGCCTGGGTATAGAGTCATGGATTAAAAAGAGCCACTAGAATGAGTGGACAGGGTAGAGCTGAAAAAGAAAAAAAAAACACACACATTAGGATTCTTATATGCTTGCTTTCTTGCATTTCTAAAATCCAAATGTAATTCAGAAGCCAGGTCAACTTTGTGACAGGGCACATTCTTAATGTGAATGTTCTGAGCCCTTCTTCTAGGTAGAAGATGCTGGAAAGTCAACTCTAATTTGTGGTTTGGCTTCCCAGCAGTCTCTTTACTTCTCTATCTGGGAGCCAGAAGTACTCACAGTTGATAACTCAAAAGGCAGAACAATCAGTCAAGGGCAAGTCGGTTTATTTTTGTTCACCGGTGTCCCTGTGCATTCCCAAACAAAATGAAGGTGAAGAGAGGAAGTGTGGAAAAAATAATGGCTTTCAGATTTCTAGAGCATCACTTAGGGGCGGGGTTTCCATTTCTAATACACAGAGCAACCGCCCAGGCCTTTCTCCCACAGCGAAGGCTTTGGGAGATGTAATAAAGAAGCAGCACAGCATATAACCTGGTGCTCAAGACTGGCACATGGAATAACACTGTGATCCGACCTTGCCACCTAAAATTGTATTGACCCAACTGTCCAACAAATAAACCTTTGAATAAAAAAACCTCCAAAGAATAACATTGATGCAAGAGGCGATGATGAGTCAAGGGGAAGCACACTCGCTTCCTTCCAATGGGCTTGAACCCCTGCCCTGCCGTGGTGGGAAGTGCCTGTCACATGATGCTGGCCTTTCTTTCTTTCAGTTGAGAAATAGAAGTGAGGTTCTGACTGTTTGTCACCAAATCGCCTCAGGCTCTTTGGCAAAGGAATTAGCTCTGGTGTCCTGGACCATTTCCATCCTGGAGAATTATATTTGGCCTGGGTGTGGATTAAATTCAGCTCTAAGAGCTCAAACTCCTGGATCACAACCTGCTACTTTGGAGTTGTTTTCTTTTTCCCTTTTGCCTCTCTCCTTTCTTTTTTCCATAAAAGTAGTCTTTGGTAAATCACAAAATCTGTCTGTCTTTATTTATATATCGGTGAAATAGGATATTGCTTTCAGATTTATGCAAGCTTCTTAGTTTATTATGAAACACTCAGAGAATGAAAATGCCACTTAAGTACTTAGAATTAATAGTTTCTTTCTATACCTCCAAATGGATAGGGTTGTCCTTCACTTTTCACCCTGGTATGGTCTTGCTATGAAACTGTTCCAATAAGATCCATTGCTCCCTCTTTATTTCAGAGATGGATGAAATATTTCTTCTGTGCACTGAATATAGGGTATGATCTCAGAGCTCTCTGCGCCAACAGAATCAGCCTGGAGCTCAGCCAAAAGTTCTTCGTGATTAAAGGTGTCATCTGAGCACACAATATTTTTTAAAAGCCTTGCAAAATGGAAACATACTTTTATTATTTTTTAAGGTCACTAGCTTTAACCCCAGGACTGACTTAACCTTTGGGGAAGGATCACTGGCCTCAATCCCCCTCTTATCCTCTTTCCTTGACCACTTGCCTTGTGTTAAGACCAAGTCCATGCAGCTAAATAAACTCAACAAATGACATTCCAAGAAAACTCTACAAATTATCAGTTTCAGATTTCAGAACCTCCCCAGTCTTGTAAGGTAGAGGTATATCAAGTTTTGATGGAAAAGTTTGCCTTTAGGATGTAAAAAGAGCAATGCTGGTGGATCTTCAAGAAAGACCTCTCACCTGAGAATTGATTGTTATCTCTTGAAATAGCAGTGTCTAAAATCATGATTTTCCCATTTTTCCAGAATGGTATACCTTTTACTTGGCATTTGCAATATTTCTTTTACATCACCTCTACTTATTTCTTGGAACTTGCAAAACCATAATAAGATTCATCAGGTCAGCCCAAGGCACTGGAAAATTATGACATGAGATAAATGAGTGGTCTTCATAGAAGTGTCATTCCTCCAGATGCTGCTAAATTCCTGGGCTTATGGACACTGTTTGAGGGCTTCCTCAGAACCATCAGCAAATGGTGTAGATCTGCTCTGCCTCACTCTCTCCTCTTCGGGTTCTCCTTTAGCTTTAAAGTTTAAAGGGTCACAAAAAAAGCAAGTCTCTCCCTCTAGCCCAGCGGTTCTCAACCTGTGGATCGCGACCCCTTTGGGGGTTGAACGACCCTTTCACAGGGGTCCCTAAGACCATCGGAAAACACATATATAATTACATATTGTTTTTGTGATTAATCACTATGCTTTAATTATGTTCAATTTGTAACAATGAAAATACACCCTGCATATCAGATATTTATATTACAATTCATAACAACAGCAAAATTACAGTTATGAGGTAGCAACGAAAATAATTTTATGGTTGGGGGTCACCACAACATGAGGAACTGTATTAAAGGGTCGAGACATTAGGAAGGTTGAGAACCACTTCTCTAGCCTAACATGCCCTGCCCCCTATTTTTGGTGTTTGCCCTTCCAGCAACACAGGGGTCACCTGGATGGTATCTATGCCACTGCTGCAAACTCCCCCTCCATTGAGGCAACAGCTTTCAGCTTGGCTCTCACCAGGAGAGAGAAAGCAAATGAGATCCAAATGACAGGAACAATAGTCCAGGCTGTTTCACAAGGGCAGAGCACAAACAGGGCAGGCAGCTGGTGAGCTCTGTTACCTCATTTAATCTCCATCACCCTGAGGAGGGGGGTTGTATTTTTATTCTCATTTTACAGATGAGGACATTGAGACCCAGAGCAGTGAGGAGACTTGTTCAAAGTCACGCAGGCACTTCGTAGCAGAGCCAGGATTGGAGTCCCAGTTCCAGTCAGCCGGTTCGGTGTCTTTCCCACTACACCACACAGCTGGCCTCTCCTCTTCATTCACTTAGCAAATGTTTATTTAATGCTTCCAAACACTGGGGATGCTCAAATGAATAAGACAGAGCGCCTAACGTTGAGTTCAGAGTCCTCAGAGGAGGCCGACAAAGGAATAAATAATCCCAGGCATGTGATAAACGCTATAATAATGAAACTGACAAAGTGCTGTGTGACCCCCCAAAACAGTGGTACTTTCTGCCCACATGCAGGTGAGTAAGGCTCCCTAGAGGAGGTGACATTTGGGCTGCCCCAAACTTGTATGCACCTGCTTTAAATATGTGGCCTCTTCTCCAATCCATATGATGAGCTCCAAGCCTGAAAAACTGTTATTGAAAGCTGACCCAAAGATCGGGTTTCCAACGAGTTCCTCATCACCTTTAATCAGACTACCACCTCTTCCTCACCATCTCTGTGCCTTCGCTCCTCCAGTCCATCCTCTACACAGAGTGATGGCTCTAAATTAAAAATCTTAGCAT